AAAGAGTGGGTTGTTTTTTTTTCTCTTCTAACCAGCCTGTTAAAATTTCAGGTATGTAAAGACCTACCTGCTTCCAGAGAAATACCGACTGGGCAAACGGAAGACTTCTGTGAAAAAGAAAACTTTTAATCCAGTCTATAATGAAATATTGCGGGTATTTATCAGACTATTACTAGACATGAAATACTGCATGTGTGAAGTGTAAGGAACTTGAACTTTAAGGCACAGGTCCAGGTGCTGTCAGAAGAGACATTTGTGTTGGGGTGCGATGGATTGCTCTGCAGGAGTAGCTATGTCATTTCATTGCTAGGTTAACTCTGCAGTGTACTCTGGGTGCAGTTGTTGTAAACTTCTTCTTGCAACCAAACAACTTAAATATGAGCTTAGGTTGCCCGAGAAGCTGTGGGTGCCCCCTCCCTGGAAGTGTCCAAGGCCAGGTTGGATGGGGCTTTGAGCAGCCTGGGCTGGTGGAGGTGTCCCTGCCCATGGCAGGAGTTGGACTGGATCAGCTTCAAGGTCCTTTCCAACCGAAACCTTTCTGTGATTCTATGCTTGAAATAAAACTGTCTTCATGTTTTATTTTTTGCTTTTAAATGAAGTTACAGATGTATAAATCTGGACATGTTTTTCTCTAACCTTGTCGCTTTAAGACACAGCATTGATGAAAATCCACCTTGCTTTAACACTTTTTTTTTTCTTCTCATTTCTTCCTCCTGGCAGTATAAAATTGAGAAGGATCTCCTAAAGAATCAAAGCCTAAATATCTCTGTCTGGCACAACGATACCTTTGGGAGGAATAGCTTCCTCGGTGAAGTGGAACTGGATTTAGGAACCTGGGACTGGAATGACAAATCCAACAAGCAGATCAACTGGTTTCCACTCAAGCCAAGGGTAGGTTACTAGGAGTGGGTTCACTGTTTTGTGTATTTCACTGTGTGAGTGTAAAACGAAGTCGTTACTTATTTAGACTTGGTCTTGTGTTTTCTGGGGTTTTTTTTGTTTGTTATAAATAACTGTTTTCTGTGGTTTCTATTAGTCTAGTTAGCTACTAGAGAAGGAAAAAGTTTCTCGTAGCCTAAGAAGTAGGCATTTCAAGGTACTTTTCACGTACATTGTGTTTTAACAGATACCTGAAGACACTTTTTCCCTGAATATGAACTAAACCTACTGAGAATATGGATCAAGTGCAGCAACACTTTAATATTGGGTGTAATGATGACTTCCATGTCTGCATTCCTCTTGTTTGTTAATGGGTTTCAGCCAAAACCTAAACTTTTAGCTAAACCACTGCCAGAGGTTCTGGTTTCTTTTGTTGGCTTTTTTATTCTTTATTTTTTTTCCTTGAATTTACTTCATTAGTTCATTCCACAATTAGATAAATCCAAAGTTCTATAATTTGTAGAACAAAACAGTAACATCACAGTAGTCTCTAGCACTAGTTTAGTTCAATGGATTTTAAAACTGCTCTGGGTAGATAAATGTAACCAAATGTTAACAGCTGCCATGTTCCATCTACAGATGGTCCATGACTCTCTATGAGGAAATGACATCTTGTGCCTCTTGTTGAGGCTGATTTTTAGACCAAAACATTCCTAAAGAAATGAGTTTAATCAAGTACACTTTCTCCTGCACAACGAGTAAGTTTCCTGATTGAAAGAGCATATTTCTAGTTTTAAATAAGTGCACAGCAGTGGAAAAAATGCACCCTCAAAGCTTTTTGGCCTCTTCTGGGTTGTTTTCCACTTTAGTGGAAGAGCTCTCTATCTGAGGAGCTGTCAAGTAGTTAAATTTGCCCTAAAATCTCTCATGTCCTGTAAACTGAAAGAAGACTGATGGATAAGAAACCAAGAATTAAAAAAACCCCTTACCTCATGTAGAAGTCAAGCTTGTTCCAGTGGAAGACTTCATGGTAAACTCTGTGCGTGAACTGCACGGTTTAAGATTGTGTTGTTTGGGGTTTTTTACCTTATATTTCAGACCTCAACAATGTCTTTTGAACTGGAAAACAGAGGGGAGATGAAGCTCGCCCTCCAGTATGTCCCACACCCTGTTGGAGGTATGCACATTTTTTTAAAATTTAAAACAAAAAAGAACCCTGTTTAATGTTTTTCAGCCAATTCATACATCTTATTTTAACATAGGAGTATTTTTTTTATAGAGGACTAAGTCAATTTAGGATCCAAAGATCACTTGAGGATGTTTTGTTCTTTTTAATGTTACTACAGAAGAAATTACCTCATTGTTATAATTTAGATTTGTGATGCAGTCTGCATGTGTAACAAAATTATGTTTTCTCACTAATATTTGTAGAGATTATAAATAACCAAGTAGGTGCTGTTACTTGCTAACTAAACAGTGACCACACACTAAATTCAAACAATATTAGATGTAGGAAATAGCAGCAAGTATTTAGAATGTTGCAATTTATGGCAGTATGATCTGTTTGGTTTAATCTTGTCTGGCAACTGATAACTGGGGCTGATCTGACCTGGCCAGACTTAATCTAGCCAGTCACTCAATAAGAATCAAATATACTAAGAGCACAAAGGGGCTTATTTGAAAGTACAAGTGACAACAAATGCTACCATCACACGGACTGAAGACAAGCTGATCTCTTTATCTAGGAGGCTTGGAAAGAGAGATCAATGGCCTCTGTGTATTAGTTGTAATGGAAGAAGTCATTGTAGGCATATGGACATGATGTGATCTTGCAGTACTTTGATGGGATGAAGATTGCAGCTTCACGAGTATAGACAGGAAAGTTGAATTAAGATGTGAGAATAATGAGAGTCTCGGCTGAATATCGCTTCTGCAAATGGGTAGGAGCTGCTGCATCGTAGAAATTACCTTTAAAAGGGACCTACAAGGCTTAATCAGGTGTTTTATTTATTTTAACAGGGAAGAAGACTGTATCTACTGGTGAGGTCCACATCTGGGTGAAAGAATGCCATAACCTTCCTCCTTTGAGAGGCAACAGACTCAACTCTTTTATTAAGTGGTAAGAACTGTGGTTGAAGTCATCAAATGCAGTGACTAACAAGGTTACTGTTGTGCTTTCTAATCTTATCTTCATTTTTTTACATTCAAATGGAAAAACACCTAATTACCTTCTAATTCTCCTTGATTGTAATGCAAATTGTCCTGCGGGGCTTACAACTTCAAGATGCAAAGTATAAACCACCAAGTAAAACATACTGAAAGAGCCTCCTGCATAATCACCACTCTTTCATTTAGTCTACCCAGCTGCTGGGTGGAAAGGCTGTAGTAAAAATTGTCTGCTTTTATTTGCATTAAACAAAGCACACTTTGTGCAAGAGTATGCTTTAGCTTAACAAGTCGTGGGAGGACACAAGCGAGAAGCAGAGTTTTATTTCTTTCTCTTTCCTTTTCCACAGACAGATTAAAAATGTAAAGAGTCAAGAATGACAAGATGGTTGGGAAATCTCTGGCAGCGACAAAAAGGTTTCAGTGTTGTTAGTCATAATACAGCAAATAAACTCATGATGTTACAGCATCTTATCCTCAGTCAGCAGTGTTGATCAGTAGTTTTTATCTGTTTGGTATGTTTAATGCAGGCTACGCTGTACAAGTGCAAACTGACAGTGCTTTCTCTTTCTGAAGCACCGTTCTTCCAGATACCAGCAGGAAAAGCCGCCAGAAAACAAGAACGGTGGCAAAAACTACAAACCCAGTATTCAACCACACCATGGTGTATGATGGCTTTAGACCAGAAGATTTGAAAGAAGCCTGCATAGAGCTCACAGTGTGGGATCACAACAAACTCGCCAACCACTTCCTGGGAGGTCTCAGGATAGGCCTTGGGACAGGTACTGGACAACTAACACAATAATCTTTCATTTACAAAATAGTCTTTCCTTTTCTCTCTTCCTTTCCGTTTCTCTTTTTGCAAAGATTACTGAACAACCTTTCAGTTATTTACTGAAGAGTTTCATTTAGTAACTTACCTGTTGTTCAGCACAAATCCTGAAATGTAAATAATGATAGTGTCATGAGGGTTAGGATGACTGACAAATGTGGAGAAATATGAGAAATATACCTTTGTCTGCCCATAGACTGTATCTGCTACCGTTTTAAGTACAAGAATATGCTATTCCAGCACCCAAAATCTTGATAACATCTTACAAAGTGGTGTAAAGGCAGTATTGGGTGGAGATACAAGGGTAGATCAGGAATGCGTGCTAAGATTTGGAGACATTGGATGGGAAAACTTATAAATGCAACCAGTTCTTAGCATAAGGGCAGTGTAAGATGTGCAGATAGCAGAATTGTGTGTTTTGCTTACTGTTATTTTCGTCTCTTTCATTTTCCCGAGGGGAGGACGTGTTTGGAGTCTTTTCAAGCAAACACAAGAAAAAATTACTTATCCCAAATTAAATTCTTACATGGTTCACCAGAATAATCATAAATACAAATTAGGATTTGAATTTCAGAGTACCCAAGGTCATATTTCAGTACAAAATCAGTGTCCTGATTTTTAACACCCTCTCGGATGTTAATTGCCCTCCCGTCTTTCTCCTTGAGACTGTGACAAAAAGACTATGGATAACAAAGAAAAAAAGCCTGGAGAAAGATGAAGTTTCCATGTGAAATTGTTGTTAATTGTATTTGACAGAATTCTTCAAGTGTAGAAACGTAGAACTGGATCTTCAAAGTCAGCTACCTGAGGAGGTGAAACTGTTTTAGAAGCCAGGCAAATTTGATTGTCTGCTCTCAACTCTGCAGCATATTCAGTGGTTGATGTTTCTCTTCATGCTGCTGTTTTTCTAGGCAAAAGCTACGGAACTACAGTGGACTGGATGGATTCCACTTCAGATGAAACTGCCCTGTGGGAAAGGATGATGAACTCGCCAAACACATGGATAGAAGATACGCTACCTCTCAGGATGCTAATGGTTGCAAAGTTGACAAAATAAGGTGGCTTTTTAATTGCCAAGTGCCAAAAAGAAACCTTAGGAATGGAATTAAAGGGGTGGGGGTGAAACTTGGAAAGGGAGCACAGCGGCTCTTTTGACAGTCTCTGCTCTGCTGCCATTCTGGTTTTGTGCTGTCAAATGTCCCTTCATATTTCAAATTAAACTTCTGCCTGCAGATTATTATGTAAATTTAAGAGACTCTCTTATTTCTTATTCACTGAAAATAGCTTCAAGAAAGAAGGCACTGACAGAAATCAGTGGTAGAGGCAGCTGTGATACCTGGATGCTTGTGTTTCCTTACTGAAGTGTTCCTGATCCCCTAAATAATCTAAATTACCAGCAAAAAAATAAGAGCAAGTCAACTTTCTGTACACTTCTAGGATTGCTCATGAAATGTTATTTATTAATAAGGTAGCAACAGGTTGCATTTTGTTCATGCTCATTAGCATGTGTCTGTATTCTCATTACACCATATCAGATCTCTCCATTGAAGTAAATGAGCGTGAAGAATTTTCTTTTAAAAGTTCCTTTATCTGTAGTTGTACATTTCTAGGTTAGGGAAGTTGCTCCTATAAGGAAGGAAGCGTTACATGAAGTGGTACTGTCAATGCCCTGTTCTGCAAGGTGCAGAGGATTGTTAATTCCAATGTACTATAAAAAAAAGGCTATAAAAAGTTTGCTTATATATATGTTTAGTCTTGCTAGTACACACACGTTACTCTAAAATGCTGAAGGCATAGAGGTCAATTTTTGTTTTATTCAAATGCTCTTCTAAAGGATCTAAGCCTGCCAATTTTGGTGATAACAAGTATGTTGGGTATTCATTCTGTATACACAACTGTACCTGTATCTATTAGTTTGGGTTTTTTTGCATAAAGTAATTTATCTGTGCTTCAGCGCCACCGTTAGGAGAGTGCCGGGATTACGGTGGTTTTGGTTTAGATACCTTTGCAGCACCCGAAATAGGAGTGGAATGTGTAACTTGTAGAAGTGCATGCTACTGAAGAAAGATAAATACATAAAATTCAAAATGTATTACTGCTTTTTTTAAAAATAAAAGCAGAATATTAAAGCTAAATAGAATTTTGGTGTTTACCAAACCCCAGTGTTTTATATTAGCAATCCAGCATGCAGCGTAACAAAGCGCAGACAGAAAACACTTCTGCAAATAAATGCACATTTATTTGCTGCAACTGCATAGGTCCAAAAGCTGGTGAAATCTTGCACCTGACTTAGAGAGGGGAAGGGGGCTTTTCACAGCTCCAACTTGGTTCCTTTAATTAGAGACATTTAAATGCTACTTGGTGTTTATTATTCACTATG